ATTTCCAAGGAGCCTAGGAATAAGGGAACATGGGACGCCCCAGAAATCCGGGTGGGGGGTAGGCAGCATCTTTCATCTCAGTTTTCCCTATTAAAATGGATGCCAAGAGACAAGATGCCGTCACTCGCCCAGTATTTTCCTTATCATGGCAGAATCTTTTTTAAAAACAACAGTAACAGGGGTAGAGTATCAGGCTCAGAGAGATTAAACATTTAAGTCAATTGATATTGGTTGGAGATACCGACACCGGCAGAGTTGGACTGCAAGTGTGGCCTCACCTCAGGACCGTTCCCAAGCAAAGAGGGTGCTGCTACAGCCGCGATTTAACATCCCCGCGGCTTCCTAAACTCAGGAGCAGGTGGGGGCCGGGCCGCGGGAAAGCAGGGGCTGCCCCCAGCCTCTTGTCTGTGTCCCTGTCCCCATATCCCTCGGGGTCAGCTGTGACAGCAGAGGGGGTGACAGGGGCTGCCCCATCTCCCGGGCCCGCAGAGAGACTGGGTGGGCGCTGGACCAGCTCTGCTGCCCAGCTGCCCTCCTTGGGAGAGAGGAAGCCCTCCAGACGTGGTGTCCCTAACCAACTGAGTCCTAGAGGAGAGGCATCCAGAGCCGACCATTCTGGTGGCCCCTCCTCTTCTAAGCCCCTGGCAGGGGTCCAGAGAGCCCTGGCCCCTGCTTCTGATTGGCAGAGAGGAACAATAAGTGAGCTGCTTGGCCCCCCCCCTAGATTCCGCCCCCCAGGGAAATGCCCTCCTGAGGCCATCTTCCCAAACCTCAGCGGCACATCGTCTCACCTTGCCCGTCTCCAGGAGCACCCCACCGGGAAACCAAGGAGGAATGCCCAGCCGGGCAGAGTAGGTGCCTGCCAGGGCTCAGGGCTCAGGGCTCTGGTTCTCAGACGCACTTCCACCAGCTGATAGACTTGCCAACAAGCCACCTCGCTCTCACCCCCCACCCCAGCTTGATCCCTGTGAAATGAGAAGTGCAGACTCCCCTCTCCCCCCCCACACCCCCAGCCCACTCTAACAGAATCGGACAGCGGGGACCAGAAGCATCTTCAAGGGCAGGTGGTCACAAGCAGACACAGGACTAGACCCAAGTGCCCAGTGACAGCATAGGAATTCATAACAGCCTCCCCAAAGGAAGAAATGGCCCCCCACTGAATAGCCCCCTGCTCCAGTGTGCACACACATCCACATACAACATGTACGTGAAAACATGCATGTGAAAACGTGTGCACACGTACGCACATGCCACCTGCAAACATACACCAAAGCACATGCATACACACATATGCAAACAGGCAAACGTGCACACACAGATACAAGCACACACTTTTTCTGCCCCACCAAATAAAAGGTAGCGAACATCAGCGTTTTTTATCTTTCGAAAGAGGTGAGATGAGACGCCGCCACCAGTTCAGAAGTGACAGCTGCTTCCCAAGAACTTCCCCCAAAAGCTTCCTGAGAAGCCTGACGAAGTGGGTGAGAGCGGAAGAGGTTCCAGAGGTCAGGAGGCGAGCAGGCTACTCGGCTCTGATTGTGGGGAGGGTGGTTTCCACAGGTGGCACGCCCAAGGTGGGGGTGGCCTCCAGGAAAGCAGCGCTGCGGGCAGCTCGGGGGAGACCTGGGGCACCTGTCTTCAGGAGGGAGGCCGTGGCCTTGGGAGGGGCCAGAGCTGATGTGTGCTGGCGCCACCGCCTCTGTGGTCTGGAGCAAGTCCCCAGGCTGCTCTAAGCCGGCTGCCGCCTGTGAAGGGGGTTAGCATCTGCTTTATCGACGGTCAGGAGAAGTAAACAAACTCATGTAAACAGCCGGGACGCAGCCGGAACATGATGGCGCGGTGCGCGCTCCCTGCCCAGTAAATGTCCTTTAACTGACACAGTGAGGAGGGCCGTGGTCTTTAAACCTCTGCCGTCACTGCCATGCCTGTTACTCATTCTCGACCTTGCTCCATGGCCTCCCCCTTGCCGTTGTCACTGTTGGAGGCTCGGGCTGGACTTGTAGCCTGGTTGAGAGCCAGACCACTTGGGGTTTCCAAGCATATGCTGGACACTGGTCACCTTTCACCCCGCCTTGAACTCCACGCCAGCAGCTCTGTCCAGATTTCAAATGTCTCTCTCTGCTCAGGGCTCTTTCTGCAACGCTTTGAGGGCTGAGTTTTCTTAAAGTCCCAAACACGGGATTAATTCTGAAGTTCCCCATATGCTGTCGGGTACTGTCTCCCTTTTTATCCATCCCGTCCTGTTTGTGAAAGGTCATGGGCACAGACCTCATGTTGCTTCCAAGGGGAGGATGTGGAGGGAGGAGAGAAGGCATGTGTGACGTCGTCGAGTATATATTGTGTTGCCCCGTCTGGTCATCAGTCCTTTGGCTCCTGCATTCCTTCTGTTCTCTGTCCCCTGAGTGATCCCACTGCTGGCCATTCCCTGCTCTCCCCGGCAGTGGCTCCCGCGGGTGTTGTCTGCTCCAGCACAGCTTCGGGTGGACGGCCACAGTGTCTGAGGAGAGGCCGGTGCTCAGCTTCTCCACTTCCATGCCGTGGCCCCGCATTAGTCACTTAGCCTCCATGCCACTGTTTCTCGATGTCACATGGGTATACGGTAGTGCTGCTTGTTGGAAGAACCAAACAGGGCAAGGCCAATCACTTCGTCAATTAGCCAGATGAGTTTATTGAGCAGCTACTACGTGCCGAGTGCTGGGGTCCAGGGTGCATGTGCCATTCATGACACTCAGTCCCACTGAGCAATGGCTCCCTCTGTCCTGTGCCAAGCATTGGACCTGGGTCCTGTGACAGACAGAAGGACACGGCAGGACCCGGCTGGTGGGAAGGGCTATGGTGCCAGTCGCGTGTGGGCCTGGTGAGTAGAGTTTCTTCCTCTGAGAGGCCCAGCTTTGTGGGGAAGGGGTCCTTTTCGGACCCAGCAACCTTAGGAGACCCAGGGACTGCTGA